TACGAGAAAAATGGTATTCTTAATCACACTTTGTTATTTTACTCCTAAAATGTGAATAGCTCGGAAGAATAAAATTCATATGTGGAAATATAATCAGCTGTAAACATTTAATAGATTGTGAATTTTTTTTTTAAAAGATTTAAGGGCCTCTAAAAATGGGAGTTTCTCATGATTTTCACATAAAAATGTATGAATATAATAAACAATTTGTGGAAACTCCATAATACCATTACAAATATTTTGCGCGATTAGGGATGCGTTCGCGTACCCTGATTATATTTTTAAAGGCAAATTCGGATTATGCGTACGCGCAATTTCGAGCGAATATTTAATAAAGGGATTTCTTCGAGGATGTAAAAATAATTTCATATAACCCGGGATGTGCAGTTCACTGTTTAAATATAAGGGTGGTGACGTTCTTAATTCTATTTTAAATCACGAACATATGAATTTGTAATAAAGGATATAATATGATCAATTATATTGTGTACACGTATGCGTGACATGATCTCCGTAATTATGAAAGGTATATAATACGAATATACGTACGCGTAATTCGTTTATATAATTGTAAACAATAAGTAAAAGCGGTAGTAAAATCATACAATAAAAACGTATTTAGTAAAATCAAGATAATTAAGCCAAAAATAAAAACAGTTAAGCGACCGTGCTAGAACCACGGAATTCGGAAATGCCTAACACCTTCTTCCGGATTAACAGAATTCCTTACTCAGGATTTCTGGTTCGTAGAATAACAAACAGAGTCATATTCTCCTCGATTCAGGGATTAAAAATTGGTGACTTGGGACGCCTTAAAATTCCCAGGTGGCGACTCTGAAACAAAAAATAAATAAATCTCGTTTCGACTGTCCTTCAATTGGAGAAAACTCCCCACGCGCCCCGCGGGCGCGGTAAAAAGGAGGTGCGACAGAGGGGTTAACGGTTGAAGGGCAATTTTGATATACTTTTATAACGTCAAGGGTATTATTAGACTGATAGTATAACGGAGGACAAATTTGATCCTTTTAAAATAGTATGGGGCATATTTGAACCTTTTCACTATTATATATCTTTGAAGTTCCACTTTATGAAGCTATAGTTATTTCTGGTAATGTTAGGATTAAGAATCGCGGGCTAAAGAGAAGGACAATCGCAAGTGAAAAGTATGAAGAAGATAGATCGTTAATGAGTGAAACTAAATCTGCTTCGCATATGTCTTATTTCACAAAGCCAAATGTAAATTTTCTTATTTCAAATTTGAGCAATCAAAAGAAATTTAGAGGGTGATTGACTACGCTTATAAAAACTCATCAAACTAGCTTATAATTACTTTTTTGGTTAGTATATCTTCTATCCACGGTAGTTCTTTTGCTCCAAAACACTCCTTCAATATTTCCACTTTCTGTAGCCTGAAATTTCAAGATACAATTATACAAAGGAATCGAATCATTAAGCTCTCACAACATGATTTAAAATCAAAGCAACTTAACCACCCCAACTTACTTGGATCTCTAGTGATGACGGCTCCACTTCCTTTAAAATTACAATCATAACCATACTTCCACTAGCTTGGATTGTCCAAGTCCATATAAGGAGACCACCAGCCCATTCCCCAATCAATGTGTCCCCTCGTATGCCCAGACCACCAACTGAATATATTATAGGGGCTCAAACGGGAACAGACTTGACTCTGATACCATGTAAAGATATGACACTTGGGCCTAACTCAACCCCAAAAGCTAGCTCATGAGGCGAGGATTACCAAAGTTCATAAGGAGACTATCAGTATCAGTCCATTGCCCAACCAATGTAGGACTCTAACCCACTCCAACACCCCCTTGCACGACCAGACCACCTACTGGAGTGTAGACAATAATCAATGTTTCGGAAGACACCATCTTTTTCCTTTAGCAAGTGCAGGTGTTGTTGGATTCATAGGTGCAGCCTTTGGGGTCGAATACGATGGAATCACTTTTGCCTGCAGACCAGAGCCAAATTTACAGACACATCAAGCACACGTACACGAGTATTAACAAATATGTTCTACTATTAGTGTGACCATGATCAGTGACGGGCACAGCAGCATTGGCGGCATTAGCTACCGTTGGACGTAGGATTCCTATGTCATAAACTGGAGTCATATTAGGCTTGAACAATCCAAAATTTCTTTCACAAGCTGGCCCTGGTTTTAAATCCTCATTGAAGAGTGCAAAAATGTACGTTTCAAATGTCCTGTGAGGCATTAGTGGTGTCCCAACACCAGACATCACGTGTTGCATGAGCTTTCTGTTGTATTCCGCGGCGCTTTCAGCGTCTACTCCAGCTTGCCCTGGATCTCCTTTCGATGGCCATCCAGTTTCTGCAATAACAATCTCTATATCTTCGAAATCCAAGAGCTTTAGGGCCGAGTAGACAGCGTCTAACTGTGCATCCAGCATGTTCGTGTAGGTGAGTCGTGTGTTTTCGTCAAACACTCCTGGATTAGGTCTGAAGAGTGCATAATCTAGTGTGTTTTCAGAAGAACCGAAAAATGGATATGGATTTATCATGAATGGTGAATTAGTAGCTCTGAGGAAGTCAAGCAATGGCTTGAGAATATGGATGTCATATCCTGGTCTAAATTTCCCAGTGGAAGGTGGGCTTGAACTTGCGAGTATGCCTAATGAATGTGGTGTAGATATTTGGATGAGACGGTCCAAGGATCTTTCAACAATGGCAGCGTGGAGTGTTTCCATAGCAGGAACTAGGCTCCCAATAAGTAACTTGTTGGCAGTTGAAATTACTTCATTGCCAACAAGTATTCTTACTATGTTGGTGGCAGGGACGTGAGGCAGGACATTATATTCCACCCATTGTCGGGCAAAACTTAACTTGAGAAGGTGCGGAATTAAGTCATTGGGAACGTTTACAGTCACTGCAATACCAGTGCGAGCAAATGCTTTCAAGATTTCTGGATTGGCATCAAAGAGTCTCACGCGACTGATAAAGGTGGATTCAAGGAGGAAGCGCGCGACTTGGACTGGTGGAGGGAGGTTGTCAGCCACTGTGCCATAATTGATACCAATTGTTCCTTCAACTCCTATTACAAAAAGAGAAGTTCTAATTATATCCACTGAGACAGTGTAAATATATGAAGCACATGTTATTAAACTCAGTGACATGCATTTGAATGCTTTGAGCTGATAATAAAAAGGACTTGCTTACCTTGAGTGAGAATTGGTGTAAGGACGAAAAGCAATGCGCCAAGCAGATGAACTAAGGGTGAGTAGAAGACCTTCGCCATTACTGCACTTGGTTGTTGCAGGTTGCTGCAAATATGTCTGCATGTCAGCAGCTTGGCTGAAGAAAGGCACCTGTGGTAGATGCTTTCCTTTGGAAATTGGCATTCAGATTGATATTATGGGTTGTCAAGTGAGGCAAGGTATATTCATAGAACAACTAGTACAGGAGAGGAATCTCTTCTTTTACGCTTTGGCAAATATGGATATGAGATACACCCCTTAGATCTTACTATAGGAATATGCTAGTTTTTGTATTGGAACTTTCCCAGACTCTTCTATCAAATGTTCTTCCTTCCTCTTTTTTTTGGGGGGGACTTTTCACATCAAAGACAGCCTTGATAAAGGAAGTGAAAAAGAGAAAACAAGGGGTGTATTATTTCGAACACTTTGACTTGACAGTTAATGTCAAAAAACTAACATTGACAGAACAGGGCAAAGGAAAACATATATTACGGGAAATAGTCAAATTTAAGCTAGCTTTTGGACATAAATTTAATTGAAAATTGAAAAATACAAGTTTTTGAAGATGATATGAAAAAAGATTCTTGAAAGTTAAAATTGTGTTTGGACATGTATTTTACTTGAAAAGAATTTGACGTTTTATAACTAGAAAACTTCAACAAAAACTACTATAAGGTTGTTTTTGGGATTCGAAAATTTTGTTCAAAATCTGCTAAAAAGGTTAAAATCTATAAATATTTGAAAAAAAAAAACTCCCAAATTTTATGGCCAAACGGGAGCTAAAGCTTTTGACACTTCAAATCAATCACGAGTTTAGATACCTTAGTTTTTTGCAATTAGACATGATATTCCATATTATCCCTCTGATAGTCCCCAACCACGTTACCTGATGCATATTTCTTATCCACAAACAACAATAACAAATCACTGGTCGAGGAGCAAATTTCAGAGTATGATTTGCTTCTAGAAAACCAACTTAAGTCCATCAGGTTGAACATGTGAAGCTTAACTAGAGTATCATGTACAAAAAGTGTAAATTAATAAACTTCAAATTAAAAGAGAAGAGCTGACTCCTAGTTGCCTTTACCAGCACAACTCACCCTCTTTGCTATACCAAAATGACAAATATATGAGTAATAGCTTACATTCAATTATTCCAGGGATCATGGAAGATGAATCAAGTACAAGAAAACTGGACAATAACATACGGACAACGGTTATCTACATCCCAAGTTAACTCTCCCTTCTTCATTAATAGTTTTATTCAGACATATCTTCTGAAGATCAATGTAGCCAATTATTGTGTCCTCAAAATCTGCATCTTCAAGTTGAGCATCATTAAAGGTAGATCCTGATAGTACAGTGTTCTTAAATGAAGCTCCCTGGAGGTTGGCTTTCTCAAAGTTCACTCGATCTAGAACAGCATTCGAAAAGTCTGTCCCTGTAAATAGTGAAGAGTCAGATTCCCAACCTTGAAAAGATGTATTTCTTCAAATAAGGCATAAAGTCAGAAAGCTTCGGCCATTCTTTAGCCCCTTCCAGCGAAACATATTAGTATGGTAGTTGTCAAACTTTGCCCATGGCTACTGTAGAAAATCATAGAAAGCCTTGGAGGACAATACTACTATGATTTTCTAAAACGTATAAAGGGCATCCCGGAGTAGGGGTAAGGTCTGCGTACACACTACCCTCCCCAGACCCCACTTGTGGGATTCTACTGGGTCGTTGTTGTCATTGTGTAGTTGTATACAAGGGCAGTCCGGTGCACTAAGCTCCTGCTATGCACGGTATCTGTGGAAAGGCCGAACAACAAGGTTTATTACACGCTGCCTTACCGTGCATTTCTGCAAGAGGCTGCTTCCACGACTCGAACCCCTGATCTCCTGGTCACATGGCAACAACTTTACGATTTACGCCAAGGCTCCCCTTCGATTTTCTAAAACATACCCCAAATATAAATGCAACAGCTTTTATTGGTTTTACTTCAGTGAAGAGACAGAAATAAGAAACCTGGAAAAAGAAAAATATACTTGATCTGTCTTAAATTCAGATATGCAATATCCATCTGATGATTATTCTTCTCATCCATAGTTCTTTTGTCAAAATTTCTGGGAGTGATCAAAGAAATTCTTTTTATGGTACATTTGCAAGTAGACTATAACAAAGTTATTCTGATTACTCAGTGAGTGTGGCAATAATGAGAGCATAGATATGAGATATTCAATGATCAATTTCCATTTCATCTTGCTCAAACACGGAATAGTTGAGAAGTACTCTATCATGGTGCAAGTTACTAAATAATTCCTGCTGTTCCAACCAGCCTTGACATTAGAGGCAAATTACAAATTGATGGACATTGTATAAGTTATCATAAGCTGGTTAAAAGACCCTCATCATATATCTCATGAAATACTAGGTTTTCATTACCACATACAGGAATGTGTACACAAATATAACTTGTAATAATTCAATCAAACGCATTCGTTCCTTATTTCCTGCATTTCTTTGTTAGCCTATTGCTTCTTGGGAGGCTTTAAAAACACAAGCAGAGATTTGTTTTCTACAAAAATTGTTATGTTAACTTACCCTTAAAACTAGCTCCAACGGCATAAGCCTTAGACATGATCACTTCAGTCATGTCTGCACCATCAAATTTTGCACCAGACATAAGTGCTGCTGCAAGTGACTTCCCCTTGAGGTTATTTTTCTCATTTGTGTAATCACAAAAGCGCAGATCAAGTGGTTTGTCATAAACTCCATTAGCTTGACCTATTGTGTTACCAACAAAGGCCCGTGCACACCTATCTGGGTCGGTTGACAATGGAGGCAATCTCTGCAAAATCAACCCAAAATTGTAAACAAATGATAATCTTGCATCCATGTTCATATTAACCAATGACAACTCCTTATAGATTACTCTGTCAAAATCTACATAGGCTTATTTCCTATCTTTGGAACACGAGCTCCAAGATGTTTTCTCTCCTTTAATAGTACACACATGCACTTCTGTAAATCATCATATATTTCAAACTTCGTCCAATCCAACCTAGACTATAGCACCTTCACATGAACTTTATATAGGTTCTTTTGTTTTTTAAGAGAGGTAACATTGACATATTAACTTATGTAGCTAATGACAACTTAGGTAAAACTTGGTAACAAACTTTTAACATAAACCAGTCAAATGTTGGTCTTAGATCCTAATTCATGACCAATCAAGAGAATGGTAAAATCCGAATCTATAGAGGAGTTAATCTGCTTGTGGATTGGGAAAATTAGATTTTGAATTTCTTATGCCATTTGGATTAGGATACTTATTTGACAAACTAAAAACTTTAATGGCGATAATCTTTTTTTCCAGGAATTGGCTCACACAATTTAACTTGGTATCAGCGGCTCTTGGTTTAAATCATGCGTCCATCGATCAACCAAAATATTTCTACCTACCCTAAGTGACATGCTGAAGAGTTAAAAACTAAAAAATTAAAAGGATTCTAGATGCAGTGGTTTACAACACCAATCAATACTACGACCATTGAAATTAGATAAAATATATCAAATGCAAAGAAATATGTGAAATCGCATAGCAAGAGAGTAACTGTGTGGTATTTCCCCAACCTGACCCGCAGCAATTACGGGAGAAACAGAATTAGCCACTGCCCAAGCAGCAAGGAACCCACAAGCAACATTCCTAAGTTGCTTGAACTGACACGAGCTTTCCTCATTATCCGAACCCTCCTTGGTAACTGCCCCCAGATGCAACAAACGGTAATCACATCGAAAATTATGATATTCAGATGCCATTTCAACTTGAAGAGTAATGAGAATCCAACTTGAATATAAGAAAAGATAATTGCTAGAATCGTACCTGAACATTTGATTTGGATGGGTAAGTGAAATTGTGGAGTAGTGAAGTGAGGACGATAACTTGAGGAACGACTGAGGGAATGAGATTTATACGCCAGAGGAATAGATATGGACGCCATTGTTTGTGAATTGTGAGTATTATTGCCAGCGTTGGTCTGAACTCGTTCTGACTTTATCCATCCATCTGTAGATACATCTCCATCCGACGTGGCATCTAGACACTGCTCCTTTTCCTTTCTTTTGCGTTTGGGCCCCTTTCTTCTTCTACTATGACGTTATGGATCCAATTCTTTTATCCTTTTAGTGACTTTAGTCCTTCTACTTTAGATCATAGGGAGCGAGGGGGCTATTGAAAAATTCAATTGTATTGTAATTCTGGTTTTTGGTCAATTATTAGTGAATTAAGTGCATTTAAATCTTTAATTAATAAAGGGGTGCAATTTAGTCCCGGGGAGAGTATGTAAACGTGAAACAAAAAAGAGATGGAGTTACAAATGGAATTTATCTCAAATGATCATTCAATTATTCTAATTACCTAATAAAGTCATGTTTCTTTTGTTTGTAATATAAATGTCACTTAACTACTTCTATAACACTCAAAAGGTCACTCAACTAGAGTTCTTAAACTTTCGACGCCAAAATACCTATTTTATCTTTTAAATTATCAATCATTATTTTTAATATTATAAACTTTTCTCTTTTTAATCTATATTATGGACTTACCTATAAAATAAATAATTCTTGCTTATAGAATAAAATTATAAAAAAATAAATTTAGTATTTTATTAGGGTAATTTGAAATAATTGAGCGATCATCTTACTAATGAACTCCTTGCAAATGGGATGTAATCCCTAAGTTGTATGATAATATTTCTCTTTCACAAGTGTAAGCATTGTTCCCTCAAAAGTGGTTAAGAAAAGAACTTAAAGTTAAAGGTATTACCTTCAAGTAAGACTTAAGGACTATACTCCTATACTTTATTTAGTTAAGATTAAATGTACTTAGTCGATTAATATAAATATCAAAATCAGAATAGGCAGTAATTTAGGGACTAAAATTGCTATTTTTCCTACTGTAAAAATATTAGTCTCCTTGACTAAAAGCCAAATAACAATCGAAGAGGAGGGCAATGTAATTTTACTTGACAGACCAAAAAATAGGGGAAGAAGATGAGCTGCTGTAGTTTTTTTTTTTTGGTCCAAAAAAATTATTTATATAAAGTTTACGGTGGCAAAATACAATGAGCTAAGCTTAAACTAGGCACAAGACAACACAA